AGTCCCCCGTGACCATGGGTGCTGGAAAGCGTCCGAAACGTCGGGAATTAAAAATAAAAAAGTAAAAATAAACGCGATAAAATCCGTAAAAGTAGTTTTAATCATGATTATGATTCTTCCCCTCTTCCTTTAAATACATTAATTCGTGATAGCCAACGCACAGATGACGTTGTGCTTTTTTCTAGATCAAATTTGACAGCAACAATGCGCGCCACCTGCGGATTTTGAATTAAGAATCAAAGAGTGATGTCATTGCCACTCGAATCAATTCAAGTCACGTTGCGTTCGACGTAACCAAATCGCATGTAACTTGTATCTTTAATGTTATAAAAATAACTGTTTCAACTTATCTACGGTGCTAATGCTTAAAATATGATTGCATTGGAGTGAAAAGATTGACGTTAGAAAAACAGATGTTAGACAATAGCCGTTTTAATTGTTGTCAAACAGTTCCAACAGTCCGCGACGAATCGGTGGAACGACAAGAACGACGTGCACATCATTGCATTGTGTTGCAGATACTATACGATACGTCATGTTAAATTACCACTCGTGTGAGTTGGTATTTCATTTAAATCACTAGATTCCTTGTCAATGCTGCTTCCGTTCATAATAGCTGATTGTTTCTAGATCAGCGTGTCATTGTTATTCTTAATAAAAGCCAGTGCTTGCCTACAATCGCACCTGGTGGTAAGTGGTGATTAAGGCTTAGATGGTATATCGCACTTTACTACTGCAATAATTCTCACTTACTCTTCACTTCACTCTTCTCTTGAAAATACGGACGGACGGAAAGTCAGAAAGTAAATTATTCTACCCCTTTGCCGTATTGTCGTGTGCCGTGCTCTTTACCTCGGGCAGCATAATTTGAAGGGCAGAAAAATTTGAAAAAGTAAACATTCTAATTTAGTTTTGGGAGAGATTCCTAAACCGATTAATAATCAAAACCGATATAATAGTAATAGTGTCTACTATAAGAACAAATTTAAAAATTAAGTTAGTACTAGTTAGTAATGAGTTGATTCTTTTAAATTAGTATGATTTTTATAACCTCAATAGGGGCACCATATCAGGATGGGCCTAAGGCGATATTTAACTGAATTATGTATAAAATAAATTGTATTAAATTACTGAGTTCATCGTTAAATTACAATCCAGTATCTCCGAGCATGTCCGATACCTTATATCGTCTAATTTATACCATCTTCGAGGTGACAACGCATCTGGAGCTTTTTTCGTTTGAAGTTCACTTGTCGCAACATATTTTTACTCTCTAAAGTTTTGAGTCGACTACTTACTTGAAAAACCTCAGTAACAGTAATTACGTGGACCGCGCTTTTTTCAATTAAATCGCCACTTCTGCCTTTAGACATGTTTCCGCGTCATTAAAAGAGAAGGGGCTGTCGAGGTGCGGACAGTATTCAGGACATCTTTTATCGCCGCACCACGCGACAGCTTCAGTATTCTTATTTTCACTTAAAACAGACGGTATAATTGGTATGTAATTTTAAAATCAGATAATTTGTGGCTTTACGTTACTTTTTAACAGTGCAGAAATAAGCGCTCAGTAGTATTAGTGATATCAGTGACTGTAATTAAGAATGTTATACTATGATGTATTTTGCTGCAAAAACAGTCAAATATGAAATACTGACAAAATATGAAATTTACATTATATATATGTCCTGTTACTTTGTTACTTGAGAAATAGAGGCTTAAATTAACTTTTGAACCTATTGCTTTGCCTCAGGTTTAATTTTTTCAGTTTTTTTTTGTTAAGTCACCCGACACAAACTTTTAAATTTGTAATATATTGCAATAAGGTAAATAAGTAAAGTTACACTCATTTCTCGGAGTGTTTGAAGTAATTTTGATATGTCCGCCGCGCTGCCCTAATGCATGTGGCGGGCACATGACTTTCGAATTTCTAATCTTTTGAAATCTTTTGAATTTCTAAGTTAATAATAGTTTGTACTTGGTAGAGTCAAGCTGCAGTTATATTATGGTTATAGCGCGAATGAGTTGACTCGATGGGTATTGGACTAGGCTCTCACAGAATACCAGCGTAAAATAGGAGCTTAATGCTGCTGTGTTATGTATAGTGAGTTTAGAGAACTGAAGACCCTTTTTACTAGAAACGAGTCATTCCATCATAGACCTCAGGAGCGTTCGTATACGTAACGTATCTCAACTTTTATTCTTAATATAGAATAGATGTAGATGTCGATGGGTCATGGCATCCATTTACCATCGGGTAGATTGTGAGCTCGTTTGTCAGCGTTGTTTTATACAGAAGTATATTTATTTATACTGCAGGTTACCAGCTACGTCCTTGTCGGTTAGGCAATGGTCTCCTATAAACGCCATCGGCCGCTTACAGCGTCACGCCGTACGCCGCGTTACGATGCTTACTATAGAAATGTACTGTTGTGGTCTCTTTCACAAGCTGATGGCGGCGTTTGGACGTCGTAGGCGGCGTTAAGACGCTTTGCGCTGCGTCTCTAGTTATTTCGAACCATTGCAGCGTGAAGGTCGTGTCTAGCGTCAGTACAAAATGACAAAATTTAATAAAGAAAAAGACGAGTTACTGTATTATTATTATGTTTAAATTGTTCCTGATTAATACGAAAATATTCAGTAAATTTAGAATTGCTGTCTTTTAAGTGTTTTATTATCAATAGCTGGAAACATCCTTCTTCATATCTCTTCATAAATAATCGGTGCCTTGTTGCATTTATTTTTCTTCGTATACGGTCGTCTTGTGCCTCTTCTTCAAGTAACACAAGCGCCCCCAAAAGTATTGAATTTATATCCATTTTATGTACAAATATGACACAACCACACGTGAGCACTGTCGGCTACTCAATTGTTGCTCGATCGAAAGTCTAGACGTCGTCCATTTGTAAGATATGTATTGACCGCTGACGCTGTGTCTGGCGTTCAGACGCCGATAGGAACGTTTACGCTGAAGTCGGACGTCGCGTATAGCATTTAATAGGAGACCGTAGCCTTAGGTTCAAAACTCTGTTGATGACCTACGCTAATCGCAAACTATCTGAAAAGGGTGTTCGTGTTTTGAATGATCGATTAATTCTATTTTATAAAATGTGCGGTTTAGAACTTTTACGGTTAACTTATACGGTTATGTTTTAGAACATTATTATACAATATGCACAGACTATAGGTTCTCGAAATAACAGATTTTTATTGCAATGTGCAACATTCAAGTATTTTATTCTGAAATAATGTTAACCTCTTGAACTCAATTAGCGTCTCTAAAAATATAACTTTCTAATTCTTAAAATATATAATATTCACTTCGCGCTTCAAGTGCTCGTTTGTTACTCTTTTTTTTTAATAAAGTGACAAACTAACTTACTGCTACGAACTTACTTAACCTGATGGTAAATGGCTACAATTACTATAGCCCATGGACAGCTGAAATCAACTTAGTGCAAAGAAGTTTTCATTCCAGAGTACTTAAATGAAATGCCTTAATAAAGCCTATAAATTATACTGGCTTACTATAACTTTCAGATCGGAACTCAGTAACGCACTCAATGCTGCTAAAACCAGATTGTAGTTCTCTTCAAAATCATCGATCCGTTTGTCAACCGTAACAGTGTAAATGTACCGATAATACAGTTCAAGTCAATTTATTTATAGTTCAAGATAACATAATATTATCTGGTTTCGATAAAACGGACATATTCTTGACCCGACTACTGCTTTATGGTATTGAGATTGTTACTTACTGTATTAAAAGTAATCTTAGTTCGATCTCAGCGAATGCCTTCTCAGCGAAATTGCCCGCTATATATTTTTTATTCGCTATTGTTCGTACGCTCAAAAAGAGTGTTTGGATTGATCGCATCTTGAAATAATGATTATGACCCACGGCTCGCAACATTTCCGCTTAATGGGTGAAATTACTGTTCGTACACAGGTTTGAGTGATTTACGTTAGTCAATGCGGTTACTTTCTATAATGTTTTGTGAACATTTGACCTGATACTTTCTGATCGTCTTTGAGTAATGAACTTGATACTATCATATGAAGATAATTTTGTCATTAATGCAAGTTCGTACTTTTGTATGAGCTATTCTGTTTTGATTTTTTTTCAAGATTTAGGATTCGTTAGTTTGTAGATGTTTGTGTGAGTGTATATTAAAAATGAGTTTTTAATATACACTAAAAAATAAAACTTCTTTAGCATCGTTGTGATTTAAAAGTCTATGAAACGAAAAAGCGACAGTAAAAAGAGACAGACACATAAATTCATAAAATTAAATGTGTGAGAAAATGAGATAGGATCATAGGAAGCATTATACATTAAACCTCAATGCTCGCGAGAAAAAAAGTCGTAAACGCCGCCGAAACGGCGTCGCTTACGCATTTCGTTCAAAGGTACGAAGTTATCGTGTGCCTATGGATTATACAAGCGGTGAAGAACGGCCAAACCTCAACTTCGTAATAGGTAAAATTTATATAAATCTTTTTGTAATTAGTGAGTACTCTATAAGGTATATCGAAAAGAGTATATACATATTAACCCTCAATCCCTACTCGGGGTGCTGGAGCACCCCACAAGGTTTATTTTTCTAATTTATTTCGTTGATTGATAATGCACGTGATTGACTTTCCGCGTATTTTACTTTGAGGTTACGCGCCACGGTTTGACCAGTGTCGCGGCGACAGCCGGCTGTTGTAGACGTGTGCACGTGTGTGGTTGGGTGCTGTAGCACCCCAGTGTAGGAACAGCGTAAGTTTTTTAAAATGTTTATAAAACTAATTTTTTAAACTTACTTCTATATTTGAACTATTTTATTATAAACGTATAGATTGCGGTTTAAACATTTGATTATAGAGGATATGTTGTAAAATAAAACATAACCTATACAATTCAATATGACTTAATTTTTCCTTTAAAATTCAAAAATATGTATTGCACAACAGTATATTTTTCAATGTTTTTAGTGTTTTTACGTTATGGTTTGCAGATGGCTGTGGAAGGTGGATTGAATGATGAAGAAATACGTCTCATAGTAAATCAGGAATCAAGTGACGAGGAGGACCTAGTTTTTCGTGGTTCAGTTACAGAAGATTCTGATGATGAACCTGATGGTGTTTTAGAAGATTTTCGTCATATGAATGTGATTGGTCAAACAAATAATGAAGAGGATGCCTTTAGTAGCGATGATGATATGACTTTGCAAGAGCTATCTCAGGATTTATGAAGACAAGGAAAACTAAAGGTATTGAATGTTCCAAGAGTTCTTTACGGGAAAGGAAAAAATAATAGACACAAGTGGAGTGGAGAAAAGCCAGTGAGGCGTAGAACTGAGCAGCGCAACATTATTATGCATTTATCTAGAAACAAAGGTGAAGCGAAAAGTATTACAGAGCCAATAGAAGGTTGGGCTCTCTTTGTAAATGACGAAATACTAAATAAAATTGCTTATCATACAAATAAAGAAATTGAAAAACAATGTAAGAAATATAAAGGCTTTCAGGAGGAAGAAGATGGTGAAGAGAATATAGCATCGTTTACCATCATTTGTAAAACCAGTATCATTGGTAGAGTTAAAGGCTTTAATTGGGCTTTATTATCTCGCAGGAGTGTTTAAAATGAACGACATAAATACCAAAGAGTTGTTTGACAAATTTACTGGCGTGATGCTTTTCAGAGCCACAATGTCCCGTTGTCGATTCGAGTTCTTGACAAATTGCCTTAGATTTGATGACAGAGACACACGCGAAGAACGTCGAGCTACGATTCGTGAAGTATTTGATCATATAGTAAAAAAAGTGTGACAAATACTACACACCAACTGATTGTTGTACTATCGACGAACAATTATTGGCTTTTAGAGGGCGCTGTGTCTTTAAAATTTACATACCCTCAAAGCCCGATAAGTACGGGATAAAAATTTTGATGAACTGCGATTCTAAGACAGCTTACATGTTGAATGCCATTGTTTACGTAGGTCAAACACCCTCCCCTCAAAATATGTCAGTGCCTGAGTACTACGTTATGGGACTCTCCAAGCCATTGTATGGATCCCGTCGCAACATAACCATGGACAACTGGTTCACAGCATATCATTAGCCAAAAATCTGATTGGAAAGGAATTGACCATGATCGGAACGACGCGAAAAAACAAAGGAGAAATATCAGAGTCCTTTTTGGAGTTAACAAACAGAGAAAAAAATACCGCTATGTTTGCGTATGATGGACCTCTAATTCTGTTGTCCTATTGCCCACCGAAAAAAAAAGTCATCATCAGGTTGTCAACTCTCCACGATTCCCCAGATAACAACAATGAAGTTGAGCTTCCAGAAATTATTCATTTTTATAATAAAACAAAGGGAGGAGTGGATGTGTTCGATGCAATGGCTAAAAAATACTCTGTCGAAAGAAGAACCAAACGTTGGCCAATGTGCATTTTCTATGGGTTATTGAATGGAGTTGGTACTAACTCTTGGGTTCTCTACAAATGCTCAAAAGCAAATAATAAGCCTGACATAAAGCTTCGTCGGAATTTTCTAAAAGAATTGGGAATGAATCTTATAGATGAACATTTGAAAGTGCGCCTACAAACACCAACTTTGAAGAGGGATATAAAGGAGAGTATCGCGGCGATTCTCAAGCAACTCATGCCTGTCGATTCTTCTGGGTCAGAACGTCACACCAGGGATCGGAAGAGCACGACCAAGTGCACCAAGTGCAAAATTCCAATTTGCTTGGAACACTAAGTTAAAGTATGCCAAAAGTGCTTAAAGTGATGTGTAATGTAATATTGTAAGGCTCATTCGTGATGTCATAATGTCAATTAATATAAATAAAAGTATAATTTTATATAACTGTTTTTATTTCTATACTTTACTAACTATTTTATTTTGGGGTGCCTTGTCACCCCTGTGTAGGAATACTGTATACGCCAGGCAGTGTAGGGTTTGAGGGTTAATATAATATCGGTGTCATATCCTATCCTATACCTTTAAACGAGCAATTCTTGTATATATATATATATATATATATATATATATATATATATATATATATATATATATAATCGGAATCTCGGAAACGGCTCCAACGATTTTCATAAAATTTGGTGTCCAGGGAGTTTCGGGGGCAATAAATCGATTTAGCTAGGATTTATTTTTAGAAAATGTCCTTTTGTTTTCAGGCAATAAAAAACTGCTACAATATAAGAAGGTAAATTTTGACAAACTATACTAACGATCGTAATAGCTCAGATGGGATGTCGGTCGGGCGTGATATCGGAGTTCCGTGGTTCGCGTCCCGTTTTGGGTCCGACTTTTTTTTCCTTTTTTTTCAAATTCCCTTCTTTTGTGAGAAAATCTATTATTTCGAGCCCTTTTTTTAGGAATTTTTAAAAATAAGAAAAATTTTAATTAAACTAATTGCACTCATGATTTTCATTCAAATAACAGTTCAGTCTATTATGTCAATAAGATCAAAAAATATTATTCATGTAACTTGTATCTAAATGTAACTTAAAAAAAACCGAGCAAAATTCGGTCATCCGGGTACTATATATTAAAAGGATTGTTACATTTATTTACTATAAAATTAAATTTCCTTATATTTTATGCCGACCTTATATAATCTAAATTATAATATTAAATAAATAATTTAAAGTATTGGTATTTTATATTTCATTTCATTGAAGGTTTCACTTCTGTCGCGTGTGAGCTGCACGCATGTTTTTTTATTATTATTATATAACTTGTCAGACAGACGTTGCTATTTGTGTGAGATGTGAGAAATTCCAGAATTTATTCCGGATCTTTTACAGTGTGATTTTACCTTTTAGCAATAATCTCACATGTATATTGATTTATAAACATGGAATTTTTTTAATAACTTAACTGTAGCGACACAAGTTGGATCCAGGCAAAGCTATGAACAATACAAATATATTGTGCAAATATTACCTCAATCATTTTCAATTCGAGTGAGTTTATAGACTTCACATGCCCTTGAATTTTTTTTAATTACTGCGAGAAGCATTCCTTATAATGCTTGCCCTAACCGCCATGGTCATGGTAAATCAAAACCATCATTGAAATTTAAAGCGAGCTATTCTAGGTCCTTTTTGACATGGGGAAATGCCTACGCATACCTGCTTTACTGGGGCAATGGCGAGTTATGTCGGACCCGCACCGACTAAAACCTTTAGAGTATAAATATGTAGCTTGCTTATAAGTACTACTCTCAGCTAAAGCCCCATCGTGTTCCACCATCACAGCATATTGGCAGGCTTATTCTAGGACTATATAACACTGAGACCGTAAATTTACTTCATATAAATGTTGGCGTAAAATAAGCGAATTCATTTGACTGAAAAGAAAATCTCTTTGTATTTTCAGCAAACGCATTCCGTCGCCTTATTAGAGCTTCATTAGAGTGTTTCCCGGCTAATGATTATATTGCGACTTTCTAAACGTTTATTTAGTCTGTTTTTTTATTTATTTTTTAACAACAACGTTCGGATACTCGTCGTGACGCGCTCTTTTTACTCGGTCGATCTCACTTTCACGACATGTCCTTATTAGTGGTCCGATATTGTTCGATTTTCGATTTCGTTCATCCGCCGCCAGCCGATTGTGGGTTAGCGATGAAAAAATTTATCTATCTTTCTATCATTTCATTGTTTGAGTTTTCGTACTGACAAGAAAGATAATTTTTAAACTGATAATTCCGTATATTCCTAATATTTAAAGGTATTACTTTATAGACTATCACTAAACTGTTAATTACATGACATGGGGAAAGCCTTTACATAAAATTACATGGAATAGCCTTTATATTACTGATATTCACTAACTAGAGGAGTATTCTCTATTTCTTCAATAACGATTTTGATAATATTAAAGTTGCAAACGAGCTAACTTTTACTTTTATCTGCTTTGTCTATCGTGTTGCGTACATTAAAAGAGAGAAATAATTTGCCAGCTTCTATCTCTCCGTCCGGTTCAACGTGGGCGTCTTTGAGGCAAGAGTGAATAGACTTTTGTCGCGCTAAGTTATTGTGGTCACCACTCACCACTAGTAATAAAACAGTGATACCTGCAATCACTTTTAAACAAAGGCGTCGGGTACGTGTTCACTCAGAACTAATGTGATACGTATCTTTGTCTTCAATGATACTGTCTTTTTTTGCGGATGTACTGTTGCTTTGTGGCAGAAACAATTAGAGTGGTACCTATACACGCGGACTGACACCTAGGCGGAAGCTTTATATAAAAACTAGTAAAAAATCTATATATTATCTCTATATATAAAATCAATAGCTGTGTTTTTGAGTGAGTCCCTGAATGTTTTAGATTGACAGTTAGACCCGCGCGACAAGCTCCTAAGTTACTTTTACTACAATCGATTAGCGAATTTGCTGTTGCATCTGTACTGCAAATAGTTTTAACGACGATACTGCTTTCGATTGTTGTTTGAAATAGCGCGTTTTAGCGATTGCTTCGATGTAGCATTTAGGCTTCTAAATATGACAAAAGTTTTTGAAATGTGAGTTTTATTCCAAAATGTAAAAAAAATCCTCGGTTTTCTTGCCTTCATAACATATGACAAAATCAATGATGCTCTCCAAAAGTAAGACGTGAGATGATAATTGACTGACAATTGAAGGCATTCGAGGTGATTGATATTTACTGTTTATCAATAAAGCGAGAAGCAGCGCAGTTCTATCAGAATCCATGGTAATGGTGTAGCTTCGGTAAGATCCAGTTCAACGTTGAGGCGTGTTCCGCAGGTGTTCAAATCTCACTAAATTGTAGTTTCTATCCTGTGTACCGATTTGTAAAAACCTTAAAGTAAATCAAAAGAGGAGCAGCTACGACTTTAAAGTGAAGCAGCGACTATCGGTGGGGAAATGATGCGTTCACCATCACCCGAGGCGTTCTTTTTTCGTGACTGTACTGCCATTAGATTACCATTGGGTGCGTTTGGCAGAAAAAATCGCTAGCAAGCGCTTACAAGCGTTAAAATAGTTTTCGGCCAGGACACGATTGCTACTTCAGTAGCGCTGACACAATCAAAAAAATTTTGCTTATTTAATTTGTTTGTTTTGAAGTAGAAATTATAAGTTATTTTGTGCAATATTAGTTTTAAGTAATATAATGACATGAATAGACATATACATGTTATTAAAAATCATGATTGGTAAGTTTTTAATATGAATACTTTACAAACATATATTTAAATTAGGTTAGGTTCCCCGGTTAAAACTAACATCGTGTCCTGGAGGAAAATAGCTACTTACGATTTGACAGCGCTTACCGCTTACGATCGCCATTTTGCTTACAAGCGCTTGCTAGCGCTTTTTTCTGCCAAACGCACCCATTGTTTGTGTTAAACCGCTGTAAACGGTCCCGCTTTTGGGCCTGTTGTCATTTTAGTATAACTCGATCTATTATAAAATTAATTTGATAGTCTCATTGATGCATTTTTTTATAAATTCCTTTTTATTTATAAATATATAATAGTGGAAATATTATCTACTCTTATTCTCTTATATACAAGATTACAGTTGAAATACTTTATAAGTCGCTTTTATAAAACTCACTGTCGTAGCGGATATTTTAATAACGCTTTAATATAACTTTTTAGGGAAAAAATAGATTTCTTAACGGACGAAGCCATTACCAACCATTCAATTCAGTCATCACAACCCTAACAATGCCCTCTCCATTATTTTATTGGAAAGCGTTTTGGATCGTATTTTAAAGTTCAATTAAATAAATATATATTTCTTGTGACTTGATTATCGTTCGATATAAATATTTTAAAGGGATAAAGTTAAAAGTAAAGTTACAGCCTATATACGTCCCACTGCTGGGCACAGGCCTCCCCTCATTTCTGAGAGGGTTTTAGGGCAAGGAAATGTCTTCCGCGCTGTCCCAATGCGTTTTGGCGATCTTCACATGTTTTCGAAATTTTTTTCCTTATTTCTCAGACATGCAGGTTTCTTCACGATGTTTTCCTTCACCGCCGAGCACGTGGTAAATCAGCACTTAAAATTGCAATTAACAATTTCATTGGTGCCGGCGGGGATCGAACCCGGGTTACTCGCGTTCTGTTATATTTACAGCGAGCGTTAACCATCTGAGCTACCACGGTCATTTTAAACTTTTAAAGGGATATTTATGTCTATTGCTCGACGGTACACTGTATACTAGCGTTTTGTAGTCTAACTGCGACTAACAGTATATATTTTGTACTATCATAAATCCGATACTAAATTGCAGTCGTGATAAATCGTAGGAAAATTTCGCAACAAATCGACTTCTTAACCGAAGACTACAAGCGCTACTTTACCTGACCAAGCTTTCCTGCAAAATTGTAGAAAGCATTCGCATTGGGGCGGCCCATATTCACGGCGGCGTTCGGTGCTCTGTCACATTAGAATTAACTTTCGAAGCTTCTGCTACCAGCGGAAATTCATATAAATTATGTTCTCCCCGTTAAAGCCCGCATACATAAGGAATTCCGTTTCGGAATTCGTTTCGGAATTCCTATTCGTTATTCCGAACGCAGAAAGTCCATATAAAATCAAGGACTCGTCACACACCTGCGGTATTTTTCCGTTCGAAATTTTGCGGACAGAACGGGATTTCGTATGTGTGTAGCGTTCGTTCGTTCCGTTTCGGAATTTCGAAACGAAATTCCGTATGTAGTGTGTGGCGGGCATACATAGCCACAGTTGAAGTAGTTA